TGTCATGGATGACCTTGGCCAGGGGAGCCAAGCAGTTGGTGGTGCAGGAGTCATTGCTGACAATCTTGAGAGAGTTGTCATACTTTTCATGGTTCACACCCATTACAAACACGGGGACATCGGCAGAAGGAGCAGAAATGATTACCTATTTGGCACCACCCTTCAAGTGAGCCCCAACCTTCTCCAAGGTTGTGAAGACACCAGTGGACTCCACAACATACTCAACACCAGCATCACCCCACTTGATGTTGGTGGGATCTTGATCCTGGAAGATAGTGATAACATTCCCATTGATGACCAGCTTCCCATTCTCAGCCTTGACAGTGCCATTGAACTAGCCATGGGTGGAATTATATTGGAACATATAGACCACGTAGTTGAGGTCAATGAAGGGATCACTGATGGCGACAACATCCACTTTGCCAGAGTGAAAAGCAGCCCTGGTGGCCAGGTGCCCAATGCAGCCAAATCTGTTTACTCCGACCTTCACCATCGTGTCTCAGGGATGTGGCTGAGGCTGCATGAGAAGAGGGCAATCTGGATTAACGAGGAGCAGAGAGCCGCGGTTTTTTTTTTTAAGTTTTCATTTCTCTGTGGAGAGGCTTCATCTTTTCATTCATTATGAAAATATTTTTTAAATCTTTGAACATGTATTATTTATTTTATTAATTACAACATTTATATTATCTTAAATGTTTACTTTTTCCTTGTTATCCTCTGAACCAGGAGCTACGTTTTTTTATTTCTTTACAGTCCAAACTTCTTTTTTTTTTTTTTGTATGCTGGATATTATATCTCTGTTATGCTTTCTTTCTCGTGAATATTTTTATTTGGGAAAAGTTTCAGATTTGCAGAAAAGTTTCAAAAATCGTACAAAGCATTTCTGTATGGGATCATTGGCAGTGTTTTCTATAGCAAATTGTGCCACTAACCCAAAGGATGTATGTTTTGAGCCATTCAAATCCCACAGGGGCTCATCTGGAGAAAGATGCACAGTTTCCTATAACTATGATTTAGAGCCTCCAAAACCTGATGGAAGACCACTATGAGTCAGAACTGGCTTGATGGCTGTGGGTTTGAGTTTTAATTCTTATTTTATGGTTTCTTTCCTTCTCCTTTTGTTGTGTGCCATCGATTCAGATCCGACTGGAACAGGAGGAGACTGACTCTCCTTCTCCAGCAGGCATCAGGTAGTTTCAGACCACACACCTTTGGGATTGCAGTGCAGCTTCTTGCCACTAGGCCACCAGAGCTCCTTGAGTTTTAATTTTTGTATACCTCTTTGTCATTTCCCGTAATGCCCATAATCATTTGTCAAAAATGAAGAAATTTACATTGCTACATTACTACATTTTAAAGCTATATTCTTTGGAAATGAGTTGCTAAATCTTACACACACTAAAGGAAAGGGAAAATAAATTCCACATCTTGAGAGTGAAGTATCTATACCTCTTAATTCTATTGTTTGCAATCTCCTATAAGAATTATTTTTCTTCTTTGTCCCTCCCATTTACTTACTTAATACCTTATTCATCATTCTGAAAGAATAGACTTGTAGAAAGTTTTTTAATTTAAATTCTATCATTCAGTACTGTTGTTAACTATATTAATGTTCAAGTTGTTTTAACTTTGATCATTGGGAGCTCTTTTAAGTTGATTCCTGTGCCCTTCCAACTTGCCCCATCTGTGATTGTCTGTATATATATATATGTGTGTGTATGTGCTTGTGTGTGTGTGTGTGTGTGTGTGTGTGTGAGAGAGAGAGAGAGAGAGAGAAAACCTTCCTTATTTTCTGGTTCTATAAAGTACTTCAAGCTCATGCTTTATTTTATCTGCCCTGGACTAGAGTTAGTAATTTAAAAAGCCCTGGTTCCTATATGCCTATGTTGACTTCCTTTCAAGAATATCAGATTTTATTCTCGTAAGCAGCTAATTTACTGATGGATGTGTTTGGTTCTGTCAGGTTTTATTTGTTTATCAGAAGAAAAAATTTTGAAGTCATGATTGAATTTGCTGGATTTAACTAACAATGAGCTGTGGACAGTGGTGCCATTGTTTAGCTGTCTGCCTGATTAGAGGCCATCTCAGCTTAACCTTATACCACGATTGTGTAGCCTAACTCTTAATAAAGAACCAGTAGAAATTAACAGACAAGTCTGTATTCTGGGTGGCTCTCTGTGTGGCCCTCTTTCAGCAATTACATCGCTGAGAAGTATCTAAAGCTGAAATCAGCCTCCAGCACTGTTGCTCTGCTCAGAATTCCTTTTTTCTGCTTTCTTGTTGTGTCCATCATATCGGATCCTAATGTCATAAGAGGATATTGCCCCTCCTTTTCCAGTGGAGCATCTGCTTGATTCAAACCATGCACCTTCAGGATTGCAGCAGTTTCTTGCCACTAGGCCACCAGAGCTCCTCTCCTCAGAATTCTTTTCCCTGCTTTGTGCCAGAAAATTGTCTCAAAATGAAGTTTGGGACAATCATGAGACCCAACCTTTGTGTGTTTCCTTTCTGCCAAGGATCATAGTGCTCACTGCTGCCTGTTGTCCTAAGCTCCAAAATATTTGCTTCCTGTGTTTTGTGTGTATAGTTGGTTTTGTTTTGTGTGTGTGTGTGTGTATAGTTTTTAAACATGTTTGTGTTTTGTTGTTTGTTTTCCAAAGAGAGTAACGGTACCACCTTGTCACGGATTGGAAACAGAACACTGTTTTCATTGATACACATTCCCTGTTCCTTTTCTGTCCTCTTTTCCATCTGTATGTACTCTGTCTTGGTTACATCATCTATTCTCAGAGTTTCCCCTTAATATTATGTGCCATTTACTTGCTATAAATACAGTATTAACACTCTATATGTATTTTCAATTCATTCCCCATTTTAATTATCTATGCATGTACAAACAAGGCAATAAGGAGAAAAATATATAATAGAATTTCTTACACTAAAGGGTAAAAATTAGGACACTTTAGTTAGAATATTTTTTAGTTAGAATATTTGAATTAGAAAATTTCATAATCACACATCTGAGCTTTAGTCCATTTCTCCAGTTAATTTAGATATGTGAAACTAATAGTTCCTTTCTCTATCTCTTATCTACCCAAACTAAGCTGTAGAGGCATAGTTCATTGCGAGTTGTACTGCTAACCCGAAGAGTGTACTTCTCTGGTAGTTCAAATACACCAGCTGCTTTGAGGGAGAAAGATGGGTAATCTCTTCTCATCACAGTTTATAGCCTCTAAAATCCAAGGGAGGGCCACTGTGAATCAGAACCAACTTGTTAGGAAAAAGGCAGACTTACATATCTAGGTTTTATTCCTCCCAGTGTTGGTGATAGGGGAGGGCAGAGATACCAAGAATACTACAGAGAATAGTCCATACAAGTTTTTTGAGATTTGAGGATTAAAAAAAAAAAATTTTTATATGCAACTCTGAGAGAACTTTTTCTTGAGACATTCGGATGTTGTGTGAATGGCAAAACAGATTTTACATTTCAGGCTCTCAGAGAGCATGTTCCTCAGTGTAGTTCTAGGTTCAAATTAACATTGTAATATGTGGTAGTTCTATGATTTCTTAGTGTCCTTTAAGACTTCTTGTGGATTACTGGTAAGGAGTTGCTTTGTTATCCCTAAAGTATGCAATCAGAATCCAACAACTGTTCCATGGGGGAAATATGAGAAATCTCCTCCCATGCGATTTCCAGTCTCTGAAAACTTGTTGTGATCAATTCCAATTCCAATTTGAAGGTACATAATAAAACCAATAGTGCCCTTTAAAGAACATGATAGATACAGGATTGATGACCACTATGTAATAAGAAGAGAATAGGTGACATATATTAGCCGATCTCTTCAACTTAAGGATAATTGTTAGTTAAAAATTAAAAACAGCAACAGCTTTGAATCAGTTACCAAAGAAGGATGACTTAAAGGTTATGAAGTTTGTGGTTACTGTCTTTTTAGCTACCAATAAAGAAAATGCTATGATAGGAATTAGATAGAGGGCCTTCCTAGATGAAATTTCACATAAATCTTTATATATTCCTATAAATTAGCCCTATTAATAAAAAAGGCCTGCCTTCCAGGTCCCAACTGCTCCAAATGAGAGACTCCCAGCCTTCAACTGCCTGTTAATAAAAATAGGCTCACATTCTGGGCCCCAATTGCTCCCTATGAGAAACTCCCAGGTCCCAAGTGCTTGTCAATCATAAAGGACTGCCTTTTATGTCCCAACTGCTCCAAATGAGAGGCTTCCAGCCCCTAACCACCTGTTAATTTAAAAGGCCCGCCTTCTGGGTCCCAACTGCTCCAACCCGGAAAGCTGGTCTTTTTGATTAACAGGCAGTTGAAAACTGGGAGCCTTTCATTGGAAGCAGTTAGGACCTGGAAGGCGGGCCTTTTTGATTGACAGGTGGTGAGGGCAGGAACAGTTGGGACCCAGAAACCTGAGGCCCTAAGTCCTTGTGTGAACAATAACAGCAAAGATTCAGCTGAGACTTCATTTAATGTCATCATAGGGGATGTTACCCAAGCGTGCCAGCTGTACATCTCAGCTAAGCCATACATCTCAGCTAAGCCATACAACTCAGCAAGAACACTCCCCCACCTTCCCAGAAGTACATCCTTCCATATCTAGGCGGGCTTCAACTGTATCTGGTAACATGATATTCGTATGCCTGATTTGCTAATAGAGGTACAACATTAAATTGTTGATTTGTTGTATATGGGAAATACATTGTTCTAATTAGTACATGTATCTGTTAATTTGCTATGCAAAGATAACTTGTAGGTTGCTGTGATACTGAAAGCTATGCCACTGATTTGTCAAATGCCACAAGTGTGACCCATGGTGGACAGTTTTCAGTAGAGCTCCCAGGTTAAAACAAACTAGGAAGCAGGAAGTCCATCTACTTCTTAAATAGCAGGCCTCTGGAAACCCTATGAAAAGTAGAGTAACACAGATAATTATAGTACTAGGGGTAGAAACCAGATTGGAAATCAACCAAAATGGGGGAAAATAGTGGCACAGATCCTTTAATAAGTGGAACAGGGAATGTACAAAGCATGGATGCTGGAAAACTAAGAGTTGTGAAAAATGAAATGGACCACATGAACATTGATATTTTAGGCATTAGTGAGATGAGACAGATTAACTTTAGTCACTTTGAATCAGATAATCACATGGTATACTGTGCTGGGAAAGAAAAACAGAAGACGGTTGGTGTTGCATTCATAGTTAAAAAGTAAATTTCAAATTCTGTCCTCAAGTACAGTGTGGTGAGTGATAGGATATTGTCCATATGCATATAAGGAAGACCTGTTAATATGACTGTTACTCAAATATATTCTCCTACAGCTAATGCCAAAGGGGAGGAAATTGAAAATTTTTCTCTCTTTATTTTTACTGTGAGTTTAATGAAACTTTACAGAACATTTTATTGTGCTTATGTGAAACCTATACTTGGACCAAGAGGCAGTCATTAGAACCGAGCAAGGAAACACTGCATGGTTCAAAATGGGGAAGGGGGTACGCCAGGGATGCATCCTGTCTCCATACCTTTTCAATATGTATGCAGAACAGATCATCTGGAACTCTGAGATGTACGAGGAGGGATGGCATCAGGATTGATGGAAGATTCATCAAACTGCGTTATGCAGATAACACAACCCTGCTTGCTGATACTGAGGAGGACCTGAAGCGCTTCAGTACAGATTGAAGCTCAACAACAAGAAAACAAAGATTCTCACCATTGAGCCAATTGGTATGGATGGTAAAGAGATTAAGATAGTTAACAATTTTAGTTTGCTTGGCTCAAGAGTCAACACTCTTGATACAAGCATCTAGGAAATCAAGAGACAAAATGCATTGGGAAAGTCAGCTCAGGGACCTCTCCAGAGTACTGAAGAGCAACGATGTCAGGCTTGAAACTAAGGTTCACCTGATCCAGTCTATAGTCTTTGCGATTGTATGCTGTGCATCAGAGAGCTGGACAGTGACGAGGGATGACAGAGAATTGATGCCTTTAATCTGTGGTGCTGGAGAAGAGTGTTGAACATTGACTGCTAGGAGAACAAACAGGTTTGTCCTGGAGAAGGTGAAACCGGGCTGCACCTTGGAGTCAAGGATTCTAAAGTATGTCTGACATACTTTGGGCATGTTGCAAGGAGACCAGTCCTTGGAGAGGGACATCATGTTTGGGAGAGTGGAGGGACCACGCAGGAGAGGAAGACCCTCAGTGAGATGGATTCAGAGATTGGGGTAGTGGGAGTAGGTGTGTTGGAGACAATGAGGTTGGCATGGGATAGAGCAAGGTTTAAGGCTCTTGTACATATGGTTGCTATGAGTTGCAAGTGACTTGGCGGCACTTAACAACAACAGAAAAATTGGTTTTTCATTCCTTCATTGTTGCACATTTTCCTCCCTACTCCTCATTCTTTTTTTGTTTTTTTAAATGGATTCATTGTTGCATAATTTCTTCCCTCTACCCTACTGCACTTTGCCATGCACCTCTTACACCTCTTATTCTTGACTATAGTTTTATATATATGTATATTTTATACAGATAATGCCTAATCATATATTCCTTTTAAACAGTTCTTTTCTTCATCTATTTCAATGAAGTTTACATTATTTATCCTCTTCTCAGTTTTCCCCCAAACCCCATGTCAGTCCTGTTTTATAACAGTAGTATTATGCAGTATTTGCCCTTTTGTGACTGAGATATTTCACTTGGCATAATATCCTACACAGTCACCCATGTTGTGCAGTATTTTGAGTTCCTTTTTTTCAGGGCTGCATAGCATTCCATTTTGTGAATATGCCGTAGTTTTTCTATCCATTCATTTGTTGATGGACACTTGGATTGCTTCCATCTCTTTACTATTGTGAATAACACAGCAATAAACATGTGTATGTGTATATCTCTGTTTGGGTGATAGCTCTGGTTTCCTTAGAGTATACACGGCCAGTAGTGGAACTGCTGGGTCAAATGGTGTTTCTGTTTCCAACTTTTTGAGAAAGCATCATATTGCTTTCCGTTATAGTTGCACCATTTTACACTTCCAGTATTAGTGAATAAGTGTTACAATGTCTCCTCAACCTTGCCAGCATTTGTTATTTGCTGCTCTGTTGACCTTTGCTTTTGCTGGAGTGAGATGATACTCATAGTTGTTTTGATTTATATCTCTCTGATAGCTAAGGATTTTGAACATTTCATCATGTGTTTATTTGCCATCTGTATGTCTTCTTTGATGAAATGTCTGTTCCTATACTGGGCCCATTTTGCAATTGGTTTATTTACCTTTTTCTTGTTGAAGTACTGGAGTATTCTATAAATTTTAGATATGAGTCCCTTATCGGATATATTATTACCATATATTTTTCCCAGTCTGTGGGTTTCCTTTTCACCTTCAAAGTAAAGTTTGTAGAAGTTTTTATGTGTGCATTGTGATTTGATTCATAGCAAGTCCCATTAATCTATTTTTTTTCTTTCTTGATTGTAGGTTTTTCCAGATGATTGGAAGACAGTTCATGTTATGGATTAGGGCTTCTCAAGTTCTTTCTCAGATGAAGTTTATAATCCTTGCTTTTACTCATAGGTCCTTGATCCACCTTGAGTCGGTGTTTGTGTATGGTATGAGGTGTGAGTCTTGCTTGAGTTTTCTACAGGTGGTTTTCCATTCTTAACAACACACCATTTATTAAAAATACTTTTGCTTCATCACCTAACTGATTTGATCTCTTGGTCCAGTGGTTAGAATCTTTGTTTTCTTGATGTTGAGCTTCAGTCCATATAGGAGGCTGTAGTCCTTGATCTTCTGCAGCAAGCGCTTCAGGTCCTCCTCAGTTTCAGCAAGTAGGGTTGTGTCATCTACATAACGCAGGTTGTTGATGATTCTTCCACCAATCCTGATGACACATTCCTCTTCGTATAGCCCAGAGTCTTGGATGATCTGTTCTGCATACAGATTGAAATGGTATGGAGACAGAATACATCCCTGACGAACCCCCTTCTTGATTTTGAACCATGTAGTGTCTCCTTGCTCTGTTCTGACAACTGCCTCTTGGTCCAAGTATAAGTTTCGCATTAGCACAATCGAATGTTCTGGGATTCCCATTCTTCTCAGAGCCAGCCACAGCTTATTGTGATCCACACAGTCAAAAGCCTTTGCATAGTCAATGAAGCACAGATAGACATTCTTCTGGTATTCTTTGCTCTCTGCTAAGAGCCATCTAACATTAGCTATAATATCCTTAGTACCACGACCTCTTCTAAATCCAAGCTGCATATAAAATTTAAATTTCACTGTCTGTAAAGACAGCTTCATTGGAACACTCAAACTTGAACTCATTGCTGTGGAGTCAGAACTAACTCATAGCTGCTGCTCCAGTGAGTTTTCTGTGGCTTTAAATCTCATTGGAGAAGATGGCTCATCTTTCTCCTTGAGAGTGCCTGGTGGATTCCAAGCACCAGGGAGGCCCTGCCTTTGGGTACTCTCCTTGTGGATGAGGCCACCAGAGTACAGCCATGCTCATTTGTTTATGTATTATTATGGTTGTTTTCAAGTTTTAGTGGTATAACCAAGAAATGACAGAGACCATATGGTCCACAAAGTACCAAATATTTACCACTTTGAGTATATGCTTGATTATCAGCTGAAAGACTGGAGGTTTCAATCTATCTAGATATACCTGCTGATCCACTTCTGAAAAATCGGCCATTGAAAAGCCCTTTGAAACACAGTTGACAAGGACAATATAGGGTCACCTGTGGGTTAGAGTCATTTTAGTCCTCAAACTGACATCATTGCTCCTTAATAATTTGAAGAGGTCGCTAACTACAGACTTTCCCAGTGCAATACATCTCCTGATCTTCTGATTGCTAGTACCAAGTATTTAACTGTCGATTCAAGTAAGATAAAGTCATTGACAGTTTCAATATTTTCTCCATCTATCATGATGTTTCAACATCAAGAAAACAAAGATTTTCACCACTGGGCCAATTGGCAGAATCATGATAGACGGTGAAGAGATTGAGATTGTTGGCAGCTTTAGTTTGCTTGGCTTCACAATTTATACTCTTGATACTAGCATCCAGGAAATTAAAAGACGAATTGCTTTGGGAAAGTCTGCCTTCAGAGACATCTTCAAAGTGCTGAAGAGCAATGATGTTATTCTGGAGACTAAGGTGCGCCTGATCCAGGTGATAGCCTTTGTAATTACTTGCTATGCATCAGAAAACAACAATGACTAGTAATGATAGAAGGAGAATTGAAGCCTTTGAGCTATAGTGCTGGAGAAGAAGAGTATTGAATATACCATGGACTGCTAGGAGGAAATAGAGGTTCGTCCTAGAAGAGGGTGAAGCCAGGTTGCTCCTTGGAGGCAAGAATTTTGAAGCTTGTCTGACATACTTTGGACATGTTGCAAGGAGGGACCAGTCCTTGGAGGGGAATGTCATACTTGCGAGGGTAGAGGGACAGTGCAAGAGATGAAGACCCTCAATGAGATGGGCTGATTCAGTAATTGGGTTGATGGGGATAGATGTGTCAGAGACAATAAGATTGACACAGGATAGAACAGGATTTAGGGCTGTTGAACATAAGGTCCCTATGAACCGCAGGTGACACTCGACTGCACATAACAACAACACCACCACCACAAAGAAAGTACTAGAAACATAATGAACTCCGTGCATTCATTCACATTCGATGCCACCACTTTCTGCTGTGTGACCACAGCTGTGAGGCTTGTGTTAATACGCATGAAGCTCTTTGCATGGTGCCTTGCAGATTGATTAGCAATGCTCAACAAATGTGAACGCTTCTATTTTTTGTACTCCACTGCTGAGAAGTTAGAGGTTCAGAGAGGAGAGGGATCTAGTTAATAGTCTCTGGGTAAGCCAGTGTCATAAAGTAGTTGCCAGAAGCATTCTCTCTTAATTCCAACCTTTCTCCCTTCTTCTGAGCCCAGTGCAGTGTCTTCTTCATTTCCCCCTGATACAGGGGGAAGGACACTCACACCTTTGAGCATCTGAAGTCTCCATGTAGCTTCCCTCCATTCTTGTAAATGTCCTTTAAGAAGTAACTCCCTTCTAAAGCTGTGAGCAAACATAAGCACCTGAGGGGAATGTT